CCACCAGCAGCACCACCACCTCCGCAGGCAGCCTTCGGGTAGGGGCAGCAGGCAGCTAGCCGCGGGCAGGTCCCTGCCTGCTGGGGCTGCAGTGGGCTTGATCCAGCTGGGGCCGCCTCGTCCCACCCTGCAGGCAGCCTGGTGCCACAGGTGACGGCGACAGTGCTGGTCCCAGCCAGGAGCAGCGGTGAGCAGAGGGGGCTTTCCAGTGCAGTAGCTCTCCCCAAGGATCCGGCAACACGAGACAACCCCCAGGTAGGGGCAGGGTCTGGGGTCTCCTTGCCAGGTGCTGCCAGCCACGTGACCACTGTCCCTCTGGCTACCACCACTACTCGGCATGAGCAGCTTCCATCCCTTGCGCCAGCGGGACCCATGGTGGGTATTGCCACAGGCAGTGGCGGGGGTTCCAGCCATAGTCACATCATTCCCAGCTCCAGGTGTCCCTGCTGTAATGGGGACAAGCAAACGACCATCAAACAGCAGCACCGCTCCCGAGCAGGCTGTGGAAGTGTCCCGAGTGGCTCCAGACAGCATTCCTGGAGAGCCGGTCCTGGGAACAACTGTCCCTTTGCAAGAGGGGACTGCAGCCAAGCCACCCATGGGTCCTGCCAGTGCACCAAGAGGTGCCCCCCCAGCACCAGGCAGAGGTCTGTCCCCACCAGTAGTAGATGTCCCAGTTGCTCAAACAGTGCCAGAGACAAAAGCATCTTTCTCAGTCACTGGCAAATTGACTGATGCCAATGAGTTGGTGCAGCTGGGTGATGCTGTCACTGCGGAGGGGACGCCAGGGACAGCGTGGACCACAGTCCCGTCGCTCCCCCAGGATGAGCACAGCACAGGGACGTCACCCCTCAGCATCAGCAAGAGCTCTGCTGAGCCACATGCAACCGCCATGCTTTCATCCCAGGAGGTCATGCCAGAGCTGGATGAGGCCACCTTACCTCCAGCCACAGCAGCCAGCATCTCTCAGGACGCCGGCAGCCCCATGAAGCCAGCAGCAGCCTCATTTTTGCGTCCCCAGAGCTCCCCCCCACGCAGCCACAGAAGGAGCCAGGACGGTGGCCCCACTGTCTGCAGACCCCCCAAGCACACTCTCAGCAAAGGTCACTTTTTCTTCTGCCACCATTGGCATCGGTGAAGCTACAGAGCCAGGGACACGTGCCTTATCCAACACTGGCCACAATACTTCGCAGGACCGCCCTGTGCCCCCCTCTCAACTGCCTCCAGTCCTTTCCCCCCAGCTCCCCGATGGTGCTGTACCGGGTGCAGGAGAGATGCTTCCCCCCAGCCACAGCACGGTCCCCAGCACAGCAAGAGATGGGCTGCTGGGAGCCAGCACTGTCACCCACCCCCAGGCCACCACACTAGCTCCAGGCACACCAGCTATGGCAATGGATGTCACCGCTGCAGAGCACATCCCCACGACGTCATTCCCAGCTCTGGGAAGCACCGGCACTGAGCTGGTGTCTGTCAGGAGCGAGCCCAGCGACAGAGCCACAGCAGGCATTGCTTCCATGGAGACCAAGGCCACCCCAGTGGGGCTCAGCATGGGGCTGTCCCCCCCCACAGCTCCTGACAGCCCTGGTGGTTCCCCTCTGGGGTCCTTTGTGCACTCCACAGGGTCTCTGCTCCCCCAGACCCCCTCAGCACACCCTGGGGCCACCATGGCAGAGGCAGCTGCAGAGAGATCCCCTCCAGCCAGACCCAGTGTGGCCACATCCTTGTCCCTCATGGGTGCTGGTGGAGCAAAGGCAGATGGGGCCCCTCGAGTCACTGCTGCACCAAGATCTTCCCTCGGTGGGCATGGCATCGGGACTGGGACAGACACCCATCCATCCTCCCTCATCAGCCATGCTCCAGTTAGTGAAGCAGGGATGGGAACAGCGTTGGCAGCCATAGTGCGGTGGGACACTGGTGCCACCCTGGCTGCACCTGATGCATCTCCTGGCCGCAGTCAGCCTGGTCCCACTGTGGGCTCAGCACCCCTGGGAACTGATGTCACCCCTGGACCCACATCAGCCCCACCACTCCAGGCTGGGCCCCAGCGTGGGGCAGCTCCAGGGGTAGAGACATGGTCACCCAGCACTGCACCAGGTACGGGCACAGCTGTGCCAGGCACCCCAGGGGTATCCAGAGCAACCACTGCCCCTGTGGCATTGCAAGCAGGCGTTCCCCCTCTCCCGGAAGGCAATCCTACTGCGGGGATGTCTCTGGGGGTGTCCCCATCCAGCATCCCCCCAGAGGTGGCAACAGGCATGTCACTGCTGACCCTGGCTACCCAACAGCCAGCAATGGGTACTTCAGGTGACCCCCACCCTGATGGCAGCACTGCAGGGCAAGTGATAGGGACAGTGGAGGACCCAGGTGCCAGTGCAGCTCCTGTCCTGGGGACTGGTACAGCGGAGTCAGCTCCCAGCCACGTGATCGTCACCGCCAGACCATCAGCAGAGCCTCCCACCCAAGGTACGGATGCTTCCAGGACCCGGCTCCTGGTGGATCTGTCTCTCCTGCCTCCCAGGGACAGTCATTCAGCCCCATCAGCCGTGTCTGACCCCAGCTCAGCACCGGTCGTGGCCAGCCCCCTCCCCAACGCCACCAACACAACACCCCAGCCAGGGACACTGCTGCTTCCCAAAAACGCAGCCACAGAGGGTGGTGGAGGCGGGTCCCCACTGGCAGAAGATGGCAGCACCACGCTGGCAGCTCCAGGCTCAACCCTGGTTGAAAACACATGGGAAGGTGCCACGACAGGTACCCCACACAGTGACAACACCGCTCCAGGGACAGCCTCAACAGTGTCACCCCATGCTACAGCCAGCATCACTGTTTGGCCAAGCGCAGCTGCATCGGACCACAGTTATCGCACTGCTGAGCCTACAGACATGGGCATGGACATGGCTTCTCCCACCACAGGGAACGGGGCTTTGGGGCTGTCCCTGGCAGCACGCTCTGCCCCAGGCAGCAAAAGCTCCATGGCAGTGGCCATTGTGGACACAGTGTCACCCACAGCTCCAGAGCTGGTTACAGCACCTTCCCCTGGTCTCGCTCACAGCAACACTGAGCCAGATGTGAGCATGTCCCCTCCTGTCCCCAGGAACACCCATCCAGCGGTGGTGGCATCCTCCATCGCTGAGGACGAGCCCTCAGGTGGGCTCTCCTCACTGACTCTTGGCCACACACATGCATGGGAGACTACAGCCGCGTCCTGGTCAGGTGTCAGGGGTTCCACCACCTGGGCAGACACCACCCCCTCGGAGAGTGGTGCTGAGGGTGCAGCACCCCCAGCCACCATCAGCAGCACCCATGTGCCTGTCTCCAACACTGCTGGCACAAGCCCAGCCACCGTGCCAGCCACCAGCGTGTCCCCCAGCAACACCATCCTGCCAGCCACCTTGGCCAGTGGGGAGACCTTCGTGGAGACTGAGACCACCGCAGCCATGCCATCTGCCTCGGCAAAGGCCACCAGCACCAGCAGTGCCCTGTCCCCTGCTGTCACACACGACGAGGCAGGTGGAGGCAGGCAACCTGTCCTATCCCCAGCAGCACGTACCCCCTCCATGGAGACAACCACCAGGTCCTGGGATGTCCTTGGTCCCAGCTCTGCCACCATGGTGCCTGATTCACCCCTGCCCAGCCCACAGAGCCCAGCGGAGGAGCCAGCAACAGCCCCCTTGTCCACACTCGGTGTTGGTGTGACTGGGAAGCCAGCAGCTGGATGGACCCCCACTGAGCTGGCAACAGGCGCCACTTCTCTCACAGCTGCCACCAGCCATGCTGTGGGACAGGCAGTGAGCGTGTCACCTCTCGGAACCCAGATGTTCCTGGGGGCACCTGCCTGGGGGGACAAAACAGCCATCACTGCAGGCAGCACCGTGGCCATCACTG